CGCCATGTGCATGCCTGGTGCCGGTGAAAATCAAACGGGGGCACAGGGACCCCGGGGACTGGAGTCCCAGACTGCCGGGAACCACCGCATGGGAGCTGAGACGCAAAGAGCAGCTAGAGCTCTTAACTGTCTCTCCAGTCCTTTTCAATGCTTTAGTGTGTGTGCACGTGTCTGGGTCCCACTCTACCCAGTGAGCCACCCTGCTGGCCTGGGACATGTCAGGCCCCTCTCTCTGACTGTGACTTGTAGAACCTTAGGTATAATATGCCTCTGCCTGGGTTTGCATCTGTATTTAGATTAGCTACAGATAATTGATCGCCTTGAATTTCTTCAGCTTTTAGTTTAGTTATGTGTATGTGTGGGATAAGGGGGTGGTTTGTGTGGACATGGCCCACACAGACTCATAAATGTGAATGATCGCTCACCAGGGCGTAGAACTGTTTGGGAAGGATTAGGAAGTTGGAGGAGATGTGTCACTGAGGGCGGCTTTGAGGTTTCAAAAGTCCATGTCAAGCCCTTGTCTCCCTCTGCTGCCTGCAGAGCAGGTTGCAAAGCTCTCAGCTACTGCTCAACACCATACCTGTCTGCTCTAAGACTCCAAACGAGTGTTTTCTCAACCTGTGGGTCATGACCCCTTTGTGGATTAAATGACCCTTTCACAGAGATCGTCTAAGACCACCAGGAAACACATATATGTACATTATGATTCACAACAACAGCAAAATTACAGTTATGAAGTAGCAACAAGAATAACTGAATGGTTGCGGGTCACCACATGAGGAGCTGTACCGAAGCTGCAGCATTGGTGAGGTGGAGAACCACAGCTCTAAACCGTAAGCAAGCCCTTTTTAAGTTCCCCTTCATAAGCAGCGCCCTGCTCTCCTCACAGCTATGGAACAGTAACTAAGAGCGTGCGTGCACTCACACACACACAAGTGCAAAAGCCTACGAGGCCAGAGCACCACGTACCCCTGCAGCGGGACTTACAGGAAGTTGTTAGCAGCCCGATGTGGGTGATAGGAATCAAACTTGTGTCCTCTGTGAGAGCATTGAGTTCTCTTAACTGCTGAGCCATCTCAATGGCCCACGGTTCTTGAATTTTTGTTTTCTCCATCATATTCCCCGTTTCTCCTCCATTGTTTCTCACTGGTTCATTGCCTATACAATTAATTACTGCTTGCTTTCATTTACAGTGTTTATTGCCTTGTTTACAGGCTTCATTTTATTCAATTTTCAGTGTTTCAGCTCATTGGGCATCTCTCAAATGGTTATTTTTAATTCTCTAAGTAATCTATAAGCCTTTGTTTCCTACTGGCCAGTCTCTAGTGTTTTTTGTCGCCACTGCTGTTCCATTATGCCGGGATTCTCTGCTTCATATGCCATGTTATCTTTCATTGAAATTTGTGCATTTGAAAACCCATCAGCAGTGTTTCCCACAAGGAAAATTAAGGATAATAAGATGGAAATTTCTCAAAGCACTAGAAAGAGAATGGCTGGAGAGTGTGGCCATCCCACTACTGAATGTAGGCAGTAGACATTAATGGTCAGGGTTGAGATATCTATTATTCAAGTCAGTGTCACTGCAGTAGCCAAGACATGGACAAAATCAATTTCAGTGACCATGAATGGTTGGATGAATAAAAATATATGGGAGGGAGGTTACAAGTGGCTATAGTTTTTTTGGTATGTCAAGGTGATATTAGTCAAAAATTACAAACTTTAGTAACCGTGCACAAGAAGGTCAAGAGCTTTGTTCAGCTTGGTGAGTATATTTAATATGTTGTATTACTTAGAAGTGTTAATGAGGCTGGAGAGATGGCTCGGTGGTTAAGAGTACTTACTCTTCCAGAGGACCTGGGTTTGGTGGTTCACAACCACCTGTACCCTCAGTTCCAGGAAATCTGATGCCTTCTTCTCGCCTCTGAAGGCACCAAGCACACATATGTTACACATACATACATGTTGGGGACCTTTACCTTCCTCACAACCTCAGGTCTCTGAGACAGAAAATTATTGCCTCTTAAAGAAATAAACAGAATGTTCAGCAGAACATTCCAAGGTACAAGCTTGTGGTTTCACAGCCAGTTAAAGAATAGCTCAGGGCTATCTCTCCTGATGCAATTTACAGCCAATTACAGGTTAGCTAAACAACTTAAGGCATTCCTTCTACTGACCTTCTCACTTTGGCTACGTGCCAGTGCTCATGCCCTGGCTGCGTGCAAACCCTGCTCACATCCTGCCCATGGTCCTATACAACCTCCCCCGAGAAAATAAAATCTGTCAGCTTGATCAGAATACTGTCTTTCTGCCCATTCTTTGTATCCCCTTGTTCTCCATTCCCTCCTAGGTGTTCACCGGTTCGTGGTTGACTGCCATGCGGTTCGGGGCACATACATGCCAACACTCACACACATAAAAATAAAATAATCTTTAAAAAATAACCAAAACAATGGTGCTGTTGAGTTGGGTCGATAGTTGGGAGCACTTATTGCTCTTGCAGAAGACCTGCAAGACCTGCAAGACCATCACCCACAACCATCTGATCCAGGTTTCTCTTTGTAGCCCTGGCTGTCCTGGAACTCATTCAGTAGACAAGACTGACCTTGAATACAGAGATCCATTTGCCTCTGTCTCCCAAGTGCTGGGATTGAAGGTGTGTGCCACCACCATTTGGCTGGATTTTCACATACTTTACATCTGTAGGGTCTCTCTCTTGTGTGGACTCTTTGGTGTTTAATAAAGTATGAACAATATTTAAAAAAAAAACCTTTGCTGAAGGCTGGAGAGATGGCTCAGTGGAATATCACTTGCTATTCTTGCCGAGGATCTGAGTTCAATTCCCAGCACATGCTTCAGGTAGCTCACAACTGTCTGTAACTCAAGCTCCCTCTTCTGGCCTCAGCCATCATCCAGACTAATGTGGCATGTGCTCAGAACACACATATACACATGCACACCCCACAGTAAAATTTAAAAAAAAATTAAAAATGCTTGTCAAATTCTTCAAGCTTGAACTATGGTTGAATGTCTCCACATTCTTCACAGCTGTGGGGTGTCTCTGCACTGTGGATCTTATGATATTGTTTATGGTAATGTTTATGATGTTGGTGGGGGGAGGTGCTTTGCACACTCTTTACATTCATAGGGTTTTTCTCCCATGTAAACTGTGCTGTCGAGGGCTTGTTCAGTAGGTAAAGGGTATCACAGCCTTTGCATCTGTATGGCTTCTCTCCACACCCATTCCCTGATATTGAGGAAGGGTTGAGCCATGGCCGCTTTGCAGGGTTCCTCTGTTGTGTGGACTCTCTGTTGTCTTGTAAGGGCTGAGCTACATACAGTCAGAGACTTGGCCACATACCTTGCATTTGCCCAGTCTCTGTCCCCTATGAACTCTGTTTAATAAGGCTTGAAGCAAAAGCCATGTCACAGTCTGCCCTCTGGAAGGCTATCCCGAGTGTGAGCACATTGAAGAATAATAAGTCTTGAGGGTTGAGGAAATATTTTTTTCTGTAGAGGTTCTTTGAAAAATTAGTGTACTAATCTTTAGTATAATAGGATTTGAGCTGTTGTCAAAATTGTTATAGGCTTTATTACATTGATAAGTATCCCAGTGGGGTCAGCATTGTGAGCTCCCAGAACACCAGCTCTGACTCCATACCACATCCCTATTCCTACTCACTCACTGCGCCTACCATGCAGTAGTTCGGCTAATTCTTGCACAGCCTCAGAGATCAACCTCACACTACCATTGTTTCCATGGTTACCCTTTGAAAAACCTCAAAGTATCAAGAAGACTCCTGTCAGATCAGTGCTTTAAGCCCCAAATCTGTACAAATGCATCCACCCGCTCAGCTTAAGTTTTTGCCCACTGCTTCACAAATCTGCTCACACACAAGGGTCTGAGGTGGGCTCTGCCCTGCTGTTGGGATAGCATCTAGTCTCAGTACAGAAGAGGTTGCTCAGTAGGAAACAGATGTGAAACAAGATTTGAAACAAACCCTTCCCTCCAGGGGAGCATGGCCTCCTTGGCATCTCCATTCCAGACCTCTGAACTTCAGTCAGAGAGAAAACAAATCTCCAGTATTAGGCACCCAGTTCCTGGTAGACTGTTAGGGCAGGCCTAGAGAAAGAGCAGTCACAGTCTAGTCTACCCATCATACCCTCTGGACCACCCCACAGGTAATAGGGGTGTGGGTACCCCTTCCAGGCCAAGGCTGCTGAGGAATAGTCATTTCCAACTCTACAGTGGCCCTTGCTTCAGTTTCTCTCCTAGGAACAGTGGAATGTTGGGGACAGAAGGTAGTGAGGTGGTTTGTATGAGAACATCCCCCATGGGATGAACACTCTGTCCCCAGCTGGTGGCACTGTTTAGGAAGGGTTAGGAGGTGGAGCCTTGCTTAGGGAATAAAACATCACTTCCAGTTCACTCTGCCCCACGCTTTTGGTTAAGGTGTGAGCCGTCAGCTTCCTGCTCCTGCTGCATAGCCTGCCACTTGCTGCCAAGCCTCTGCACCATGATGTATTCCTGCCCCTCTGGAACCTTAAACCAAAACACACTCTTCTATAAGGCACTTTTGGTCACGGTGTTTTATCACAGCGACAAAGAAGTAATTAATACAGATGGGTAAGATGTCTTCAAATCATTCAGTGAGACTCCAACCCCACGTGCTCAAAGCCTCACCGTTCTTTCCCACCCCAGGCATCCATGTCTTCATGTCATCACCACCTTCAGTCTTAGTGGGAAGGGACAGAAAAGGGACACTCCACCTGTTCGTGATGTCTCTGCAGTGTCCCCTGGCCTCAGCTAACCCTTTAAGGGTATGAGGAAAGACCAGGCTACCTGTCACACCCTCTTTTCAGGACTGGGACAAAGTCAGAGAGGAGAGAAGGAAGGCACTGAGACGCTGAGTGTGGAGGCCTCCCCACCACGAGGCAGAGCAGAGCGGGGACCTCCTGCTTCCATCCACAGCTGCCTCCTCTCTGGGTTTCCATGTCCTCCCCAAATCAGGCATGGTGCATCTGGCTGAGACATGCTGAGACTGAGTGCAGTGCCATCCGAGGGCCGGAGGGAGGAAAATGCCCACATCCCTTGGTAGGGTGTCAGACCCTGCTGGATACAGGAAGGGTCACAGGCTGAGCCTGTGTGAGCTCAGGGCTCTGGGTGTGTCCTGGAGTGCCAAGGGGTGGCACTCCTCACAGCAGTCCAAGATGCAATACTCACTGCTGCCTCTGTCTGAGTCTAGAGGAGGGGGCCTGACAGAGCCCAGAGTGGCCCAGCCCTCCTGGGGTAGGTAGGCAGACGGCTGTCCTTCCAACTCCGGGCACCCTGCTGGCAGCACATACTCTAAGCATGGAGGCCCTGGGAAGCCAGGGCCTGTGCCTTCCCACTTCAGGCTGGAAAATTGCACAGGGCATGCTGGGCTGTAGGTGAGAGTTGTGATGGCCTCCCAGATGCTGGACTCCGAGCCTCCTGACGGAGTGCCGACACCATTCTGTCGTGGTTGTGGTCTGGCTCTGTGAGCCCCTGTCCAGGTCTGCATCAGAGCAGGGGGCAAGAGGAAGACTCAGGCAGCGAGTTCAGGACTCACTCTCGGAGCAGCACCCCCGCTCCCCACACAGCCAAGATCTCCTCCGGGAGGCTCTACCATGCAATCAATCCCGGAGCCAAGCACCACCCATGCCCAAAGAATTCTACCTCCCTCCTACATGTAAAGCCCTGAGTCTCTTCAGGGCCCTCAGTAACCCCCTCAGCTGAAGGCCACAGGCTTATAGCAGCATGAACCAGGTGCCAAAAAGATAGGGAAAGATATGACAGGTGCCAAAGACAAAACAAAACGGTGACAGAATGCTCTCCAGGACCATCCAGCAGAGACAGATAGGGACTCCCCTAAAAGCAGTGACACACAAAACTAGAGACACAGTCTGCAGCCTCTGCATAGCAACAGGAGGGGCCGCCTCCCAAAGGATGCTGTCTCTCAGAGGGGCCAGGAGCCTCCACAAAAAGCCCCTGAGTCTCACAGTCCGTCATACTGCACTATGGTAAGTTGACCAAAATACAGCCAAATATGTGCCCATTAGAGATGGGCACAAATGTAACCCTGCTATGTCTACAAAAGAGGCTCGGCACACAGACAAGGTCCCCAGGCTTGCCATGCACACACACACACACACACACACACACACACACACACACACACACACCAGTGAACGCCCAGACTCAGCACACACAAGCAGACTTCTAGGCCGTTTCTGCCATTGTAGTGCACACTTGACCCCACCTCCCTGAAGTTCCCCTGCACACACCTGGAAGTCCCCATTGTACACACTGTAGAGAGGATGGAAGAATGCTGCTGGAGAGGGGACATTCTGGTACACAAGTCTCTTCACCCTGAAGCCAAAATAGAAAAGTCGAGACCAAATGGACCCAGATGGAAGCCCTTCCCAATGCCACAGGCCAGAAAGCTTAGTCACTGCCAAGACCAGAGCTCCCTTCTACTTACTAGATGCTAGCCCGCTACATCCAGAGCTGCCCTCAAAGGACTGCTAGGCACAGCAACACATGCCTATTGTTTCATCTACCCAGAAAGCTAAAGCATTGAAGATCACTTTAGCCCACTTGGTGAAAACCAAAGTGGGCAATACTGTAATACTCATGAAAAATAAAATCAAATAAATAAATAAAACTTCTGGACAAATCCCAGAACAGGAGCCAGTGTGGACCACTGTGACCTCTCTGGTTAATGCCCATATTTACACCATGGCCTGTGTCCTTCACAGACTGATCTCTGGTAGTGGGTTCAGGGCCTGGAAGCAACCAGCTGTGTGCTTAGCTCTCAGATGAGGCCAATAGCTGCCATAAGCGGGCAGCTATGGTTCATTCACACACACACATACACACTCACAACCACACAGGTATCTACCTGGGTGACAGCTTGAACAGAAGGTGGATAAGGCCAGTCAGCAGAAGAAAGATGGACACAGCAACAAGGATGCTTTCCGGCCACTGCCAGGCTGGGAGCAGGAGGCCTGTGGGCAGAAAGAGTCCATGGCTGTGAACAGTCCTCATTGCCAGTATGTGCCCCTAAGTCCAAATGGGGGGCGCACCTTTAGTTCTCTGAGTCAATGCTGAAAGTTCAGGATGAGTCTTGGGTTTGTGTCATACCTCTGATGTTCCTGGGGTAATCTCCTCTGTACCCCTCCTTTCCCATCTACCATATGGCCAGTAGTCATCACTGCATATAGGATCCGCCCAACACTCACAAAGGACACCAGGTTTGTCCAGCCTCAGCCAGTACGCAGTCCCGGATACCCTTATTCCTAATGGTGGCCACTTGCTATGAACTCCTCACTCATCTCAGAAGCAAGGGGCAGGCTGTAGGGTGATGAAATGGGGGAGGGACCGAAGGAACCAAGGAACAAAGACTCAGCCCAGGCTGTGACAAAGCAGCCACCACACAGCACCTACCCTGTCTCCATCTCCGAGGAGAAGGGAAAGACACAGGCTGGCTCCAATCACTCCAATGGCTCTTATAATACTCCCCCTCTGTCATGTCATCCTCCTCCTCCTCTGACAAAGTCATCTGGACACGCAGTCTGGCCTCATAGATGGAACCAGGATTCAGTTCGACAGCTTCAAGGCTGAGCCAGGTCACCCCAACTATACGGTCCTTGTGCCGGGCCTGCTGCAGGGTTGGGGGCATTTGACTGAGTGCAGGGTCCTAAAAAATGGACATGCATGTACCAACAAGCCCACTCACACATATTTATACACACCTATGGATACATGTACACGCTCACCCCGTTTACACACTCTGTCCAGTATACATCCACCCATGTAAGCACAAAGCAAAGACACACTCACACACATATAAACACACATGTACAAATAGGCACACTCACACACTATGTTCATAGACACACACAAGCATAGGTTTGTACGCAGCCAGCACATACATGTGCATCTTACTCTGCCTCCCCCTGTACTCATCACTGACTCTAGCCTGTCCCAGGGGAGAGGCCTCAGGAGCTACCACCGTGTTACCTCCCAGGCCTCTTCCTGCTTCTTGAAAGCCAGTTCATAGCTGAGGAGTGATTTCCAGGGCTCCAGTGCAAGATGGATACTCCAGGTCAGGACACAAAGCCCAGAGCTGACATTGCTCTGCAAATCCGAGGGAGGATCCAGCTTAACTGAAACAAAGAGGAGCCCAGTGTCCCTAGCATGGCCAGAACTGGGATCAAGGACATTCTCAAGAGGTCATGGTCAAGGCTCCTTCAAACCAGGGACCTCATTTTTGGGGAAAGGCAGCCGATGGCCTCCTTAAGGCACCCGCTCCCCGCAAGATAATTTCTTGCACAATTGGCTGCTGAAAGTTCTTCTTGGTGCCTTCCCAGAGTAATTTCTGCTGTTATTAAAATGCATTCCTGGTAGCTCAGATGGTAGTCTCTACCCTCAGCTGGCCATGTCTTCTCATTCTTTGCCAAAACTCTGGCCCTGCAGCAGCCATTATAGCCCCTCCCCAGGGTCCAATCTGTTTCTAGTCCTGCTTGGCAAGGATTCTCAGGCAGAGTCAAAGGCTCAAGGCCACAGCCTCAGAGCCAAGCAACAAGGCAACTCCTGGAAGGACTGTCCCACTCACCATGTCTCCACGGCAGGAACTGTGAGTCCACCAAGCTGGCCTGTTCCTGCCCCATGACACAGCGGTGTAAAGTGATGGTGAAGTTGTCAGTCGGCACCAAAACCTCCTCAGGGGGCAACATGAGGGTACACACGCTGTCCCCAAAGGTGCACCTGTGCTTGATGTCGGTCACCTGGTTACTGGAAAGGCCATGTGTTAGCATCATGGATGCTGCCACAATGGGGACCCTGTACCCTCCCCAAGCAGGCCTGGCCTTCATCCTCACTTGGTAAAGAGAAGCCAGGCCCTGGATGCCAAGCCCAGCTCTGGAGTCGACCAGTGGCAGTCAATCCTGAAAAGACTGTTGCTGAAGCAGGTGAATGTCCCAGCCTTCGGCCCTGGGGATGGTAGGAGCACACAGCAGGGCCTTAAGGTTGGTGGGGAGGATCTGACCAGACAAACTCGAAAGAAAGTCCCAAGGGAATGTGTCAGGGGCAGGGTGAGAGCTTGGGAATGGCTGGGATTTTGACCCTGGTACCTGCGCCAGTCATACCTCAGAGCTTCGTGGGGTGGGAGATGGAGGGACACTAGGGGATAGATCCCAGCAGTGTTTGGGCCCATGTTTTTCCCTTGGTTGTCACAGGTGACAACTTGTCCCCAATTCCCCTAACTCTATCCAGCCACCTCAGAAAGACATGACACCCAACCCTCACCTGTTCCCTGTTCTGGGACAGGGACTCCCCAGCAGATGCAAGAGCAGATATAGGTATAGATCAGGAACCAGGGGCCCAGGGCCTGTTTCACTGCCATCCTCTCCAAGGTCCAACCTGTAAAAGACTAAACTGTAGGGCCTGTGCTAGGCACCCCTGTGGGAAGTGTCCCCTGTGGGAGGTGTCCCCGAGGGAGGTGTTCCCTATGCTAGGTACCCCTATGGGAGGTGTCCCCTGTGGGAGACATCTCCCTGTGATAGGCACCCCATGGAAGGCCTACTTCCCTCAGCACTCTGCACGGCAGGTGCCCTTGCCTTGTCCTGTGGGCAGGACTGGGCACAGCTCTCCAGTTTCAGTGATTAACTGAAGCTTAGAAAAGCCACTTGACCCAACCAAAGCCTGGAGCCTTCAGCACTGAGCTGCCTCTCAGACTCAGATCTCCTGGGTCCTAGGCTCTGACAGCGGCATATGCTGTACCCCAGGCTCTGCAATACCTGCACTTTCTGTCTTGGCTTGTTTGTTTTGAGATGAGGTCTCTGTGTATCCCTGGCTGACCTGGAACTCACTCTGTAGACCAGGCTGGTCTCGAACTCAAAGATCCTCCAGTCTCTGCCTCCTGAGTACTGGGATGCTAGGATTAAAGGTGTGGGCCACCATGCCCAGCTCTACCTAGGTTCTGAAAAGTGTCCAGCCAAAGGCTGTTCATTCACAATGCAGATGCAGAAGCAGAGTGACATAGAGGGCCATGCCTCTTGGCAAGGTCACAGAGCAAGCCTCTGCGTTCTCTTACCTGTTGCTCCTGACATAGAGTAACAGAGTTCTGCCCCAGAATATGGGAAGAGAGCAGCAGATGTCTATAAAACAGACAGCTCTTCCCAAACTGCATGTCATGTACAGTCCTCAGCTGTCCCACAAAGGGAAGCCCCTGAGAAAAGCAAGACCTTGAGCCCTGGGATCCCTGACGAGCCAGGAGTGGATGGGGACCAGAAGCTACATCTCAGAAGTGCCTGGCTGTGTGACTACTGAAGCCCTGTCACCCATTTACATCTTCAGATGGCTGGCTGATAGCCCCTGAGCAGGAAGCAGGGCCACCCTGGTTATACAAGCCTGATTAGTGATAAGGAAGAAGGAAACACACACACACAGAGGCCACAGCACTGACCTTCCAGGAGCCAGCACCTCCTCAGCAGGCAGCACCTTGGCCCACCAGCCAGAAGCCCATTCACACAACCAGAATAGATGTCTATTAACTACAACCCACACCCTAGCAGTCCACTTATCTGTCCACAACTCTAGGTAGCACCAAGGACACAAACACTAAGCTCTCCAGGCAGGTGCATGGCTGCTCTTGTGGCAGAGCAGGGATGAGATATACAGACCTCATATACTTCCAGGGTGTGTGACAGCAGGATCCTAGAGTGACAGAACCTGGAGGATCAGCACTGCCACCACTTCCAGCGGAGAACTGACACAGACCGCAGGGACAACCCAACCCATGAGCAGACGGTTTGAGAGCAAGGAGTAGAGTGACTTCCAGCCCAGTGTACCCCCTTTCTAGTCAGACACAAAGGCAGGAGCCCTTGGAAACGGCCTGATGCAGTGTAGCCATTGTGTGGGCAGAGAGCGTTTCCTCTCCACAGAGCACCCCCATCTCCAGTAGGTGACTTGGGAAGGGTGGGGCCACTACCTTTCTAATGATGAGAAAACAGACACCCAGAGAAACCAGAGACTAGCCCAGCACGTGACTCTCAGCCCCTCTGTTTCGAGAAGTGATCCCATAAACTGTTACACCATCCAGGAACTTTCTGAGACCAATGTGTGAGTGCTGGGGCTTGACCTCACCAACAAAGCCAGTTTTGGGCATCACAGGCCTCTCTCCCCCAAAACTCTACCAGCTCAGGTTGGTACATATCAGTGACACAAGGACTCCGTTGCTTGACAGACAGACCTTGGGCTAGGTACTTAGGACAGAGGTAGACAACTGGACACTTGTTGATCCTTGAAGAGGAGCTGGGCTGGGACCAAAAATGTCTGACCACATCCCAGACACACCAGGCTATAGAACCTTGAGAACCTGGAGAAACCAACACCCATCATATTGGAATGGATCCTCCCAGGCATGTATTCCTGCTCTGGAGCCCACCCCACCACCCACCACCCACTACCCACCACCCACCACCCAGAACAGTGTGAGGATGTAGCCTTAGCCTCTCAAAAAAAAAATGATAAGACTAACAACCATAACAACTACAACAATAGAGCTGTGGTCAAGAACAGAGCTAGGTAAATACTCTGTAAGGAGTCACAGCTAAACCCTACTATCTGTGTGTGTGTGTGTGTGTGTGTGTGTGTGTGTGTGTGTGTGTGTACATTCATGCACAAGGTACTTTAATACTCTACCACTGAGCTGCATTCCAGTCCTCTTTGTTACCTCTTATTTGAGACAAGGTCTATCCTGGTTAATTTTATGTCAACTTGATGTGAGCTAGAGTCATTAGGCTGGATTAGAACCCCGCCTCTTCTACGTTCTGAGATTTAAGTCCTGCCCTGTTGGCCTGCCTGCCCTGATTTTCTGGACCACATTGAAGGATATACTGCCCTAAAAACTGGCCTCTGCCTTTGAAACAGAGGAGAAGCTCCATGCACAGGAGCTAGCCAAGTGGCACAGGGCTATTTGGTGCTGGATGGCACATGCAACAAGTCAGCTTCACTTCAAATGTGTTATTCCCTCTACTGATTGCTACACAGAACCATATCCTATATAAATATAGGCATATAGAGGCTGGGAGGTGACTCGGCAGTTAAAGAGCACTGGCTGCTCTTCCAAAGGACCCAGGTTTAATTCCTACCACCCACATGACAGCTCACAGCTGTCTGTAACTCCAATTCTAGGGGATCCAATACCCTCACACAGACATACATGCAGGCAAAACACCAATGCTCTAAGAATAAATTCATTTAAAAATAAATAATAAATAAAGGTATGCACATACCATGCTGTAGCCAAGCACAGTTGTATAGGCCTGAAGGTTGAGGCAGGAGGATTATCTTGAATCCCAGATCCCGGTTCAACCTGGAAGACATAATGAGTTCCAGGTCAGCTGGGCAGGGCTACAGAGCAAGACCCTGTCTCAAAAAGAAAAACAAAAACAAAAAACATTGATAATACTAATAACAACAATATAGCTATAGTCAAGAACAGAGCTAGGTAAGTACTCTACAAGGAGCCACAGCCAAGCCCTGCTGTGTCTCTGTGTCTCTGTTTCTGTCTCTGTCTCTCTCTCTCTCTCGTGTGTGTGTGTGTGTGTGTGTGTGTATACACGCGCGTGCGTGTGAACATGCACTCATGAAGTACTGTAATACTCTGCCAGGTCCTCTGTGTAACAGTTCTGGCTGTCCTGCAACTCACTTTGTAAAACAGGCTGGCCTTGAACTCACGGAGATCTGCCTGCCTCTGCCTTGCTGAATGCTGTGCACCACCACCACCCAGCAAGTGCCCTTAACCACTAATCCATCTGTCCATCTCCCCTTTTCCTTTCTCCCAGTACTGAGTATTGAACCCAGGGCCTTGGGCATACTAGGCATGCACCTACCAATTGAGTTACATCCCCAGGCCCTGCTTTCTTTCTTAACAGGGATGGGGGAACTCCCTATTTCCCTGCCCACCCACAAAGCCCACAGAAATGGAGGCGGATAGGAGGCAGCTTTTCTTTAAGCAAACCTTGTCCAGCGGTGTCTTCTCTCTGGAGGGAGACAACCCACCCTCCAGCAGCAGCAGGAGCCTGTGGCATATGGAAGCTGTGCCGGGAAATGGGGCTGGCTGTGGGCACAGGATCTAGCTTCCCCTCTGGAAAACCCCACAGAGTGCGAGGACCTCCTCTATCATGGGGGGGATCCCAGAGCCTGCTGTGTACAGGGTGTGTGAGCACACAGATGACACTGATGGAGTAGGGATGCTAAGAGCCGGAAGGATGGGGCCAGCAGACCAACTGGGTGAGTACCAAGGAGACAGACCGGAAGGAGCAGAGACGTGAAGGCAAAGAAGGGAGCCCCCAGAGCACCTTCCCACATACTTCCTGCAGGAAGGACAAATAGTGGGGAGATATCAGAGGCACACTTGGCTGGACTCACATGAGGCTGGATGGAGAAGTGTCGGGTGGACCAGGGAAGAGAAAGGCGGGGCTCTGGATAGCACAGGGGAGCTGGTGGGGAGGTGGCCAAGGAATTCCTCTGGGCATTCTTACCCCTCCAACTGGCTTCTTTACCCATCCTAAAGCACTTGCCTACCTTCCAGCCTCACTTCATTGCCTGATGGGACAACTGCATCCAGATTCAGCCAGCTGTGTCACTCAGCACCAGAGCAAGAGGTCCCAGCTACAGGCAGGGCTCAAGCAGATGTACTGATTCTGTACACTAGAAGGGTGGGTGGGTGGGAGGAAATGGTGCCCTACAACTCCCACTGCCTTCATGAGGAAGTGCCTCCTATGCCCTGCACTAGCAGGGGCCTCCCCTGAAGCCACCTGCAGGCAAAGCTAACTAAGCCAGATGGGCAACTCAGAGAGAGGCCCTGGTAATGTGTGTCTCTTGCACCAGCACAACTCCTTAACAAAAGTGCCCTCTCACGTCCCTACCAAAGCCACCCTGTTCCTGGGGGTATCCAGGACTTTTCACCAGAGTGGGAGTCATGGGTTGTAGTTTACTCGTAGGAGGCTGAGCCCTGGCCAAGTGTAAGCCCAGGGCATCAGTGTCCTGGGAAGACCAAGTTAGGGAAGAAAGGGAAAGTCCCAGCAAAACAGCCTCCCGAAGCCCAGTAACCCAGAAACAGAGAATGCTACTCACCCACACACACCCTCCTCTCCCCGCTCCCAACCCCACCAAGCTACCCTTCTAGAATTCCACCTACATTTGCCACCTCCATATCCTCTTCTACCATGAACCTTTCAAAATATCTAGGGGTTTAGAGGACTTTACCAACCCTGGGCCCAGGCTGTCAAGTTTTATCCCCCACAAAAGTCAACTCAATCAAAGAAGCTTTGAGAAAGCCAAGCTTCTTCCACAATCAGCCGTACTTCCTGTCCTTCCCTCTGCCACTTCAGGGCATGGACACCCTGACATCACCCCCAGCACCTCTCCAGGCCTGAACATTTCTAGTTTGTCATTTCATGATTATCTCTGCAAAGATGCTATCTCTGGGAGATGTTCAAGACCAGGGCAGGAGATGAGGTCCAACGGGGGTGTCACCCACGTCACCGGGGGTCACCCGCGTCACCGGGGACACCGCACCTCATGTTGATTTGAGAAGAGGGGAGCCCTAAACACAGACTCACCTTGTGAGGTGCATCCTCTCAGGGCCATAGAGCACTGCAGGCAACCCAAGCCAGGAGGTGACTTACTGCCAACAGTCCTGTGTGAACTGCAAAGCCCCTTACCTGATCCAGGAGATAAGTCTCAGCAGGCGGACACGGGCCACCCACATCTGAAACCACAAGCACATCACAGAGCTACTGGCCTCCGTGGAGCTGAGAGGTGCCTGTTGCCATCTGTTGCAAGCCTGAGAACAGTGATGGGGGGGGGGGGTATGATTTCACTCCATGACACTGAGCATCCCCATACAGAGACAGTAGATGTTTGTCTTCTGACTGTCCTCCCAGGTGCCCTGACAGGAGCAGCACAGGCGGCAAGGATGTATTACAGAGCAGTGCTTCAGCAGAAACCCTTCTAGGTTTTTCCCCTTCGAGGTTTTTCTGAGACACAGCACTGGCCGTGTCAGTGTTAAACATAAGTAACAGCTCAGTCAAGGAAAACAAACAAGAAGGTTGGTTGGTAGGGCACACCTTTAATCCCAGCACTCAGGAGGCAGAGGAAGACAGATCTCTATGAGTTCAAGGCCAGCCTAGTCTACAAAGTGAATTCTAGGACAGTCAGAGATACATAGAGAAAGAAACACTGTCTCAAAAAAACAATAGATAGGTAGGTAGATAGATAGGCAGGCAGGCAAATAAATAAATTTTTTTCACACACACAGAAAGAAAAGCAAACAATACAACAGGGTTTCGAAATGGGAGATCATTACCTCTCTAGCTTGCAGATGTCCATGTGAACAGACACGTCTGCAAATTTTTATTTAGTTTTTGGTTTCTGTTTTTCTTTTCTTTCTTTTTATTTTTTTATTTTGCAAGACAGAGTTTCTCTGTGTAACAATCCTAGTAGTTCTGGAACTCACTTTGTAGACCAGGCTGACCTCAAACTCACAGAGATCTGCCTGCCTCTGCCTCTTGAGTGCTGGGATAAAAGGTGTGCACCATCACACTCGATTTTAATGGGGTTTTTGTTTCTTTTGTTTTTGTTTTATGTGTATGGATGTTTGCCTGCATATATGTCTGCACCACATGTATGCCTGGTGTCCTTGGAGGTCAATCAAAAGAAGTTGGATCCCTGGTTGTGAGCCACTATGTGGGTGCTGGAAATCAAACCAGAATCCTCTGGAAGAGCAGTCAGGGCTCTTAACCGCTGAGCCATCTCTCCAGTCCCCGAGCACGGTTGTTTTTGTTTTTTAAGCTCACGCAAGATTATTAGATATAAAAAAAAAAGAGAGAGCTAGAAAAGCCACCCTGAAAGCCACACCGAAGATAGTGAGCTGGGCATGATGACTCATGCCTGTAACCCCAGAACTTAGGAGTTAGCTAGTCAGGATGCTCTACAGAGTGAGTTCTAGATCTTTGGGCTACATGAGACCCTGTCCCAAAAAAGAGAAGGGAGGGAGAGGTTGGGGGAAAGGAAATAAATCATATTACATGAACCACTAACTAAAATAGATCTTCTGGAGTTCTGCTATAAGCCCTCTGTGAGTACCACATTTGTTACTATTTGTATGAATTAGTGTTATTGGTTTGGTCCTCCCTGAAGCCTCACTACTTAGAAGAATGAGCAGTCATTTGGGCTCTCAGCTGGCTGACCAGATGGATCAGTATCATCTCTGCATTACCTTTATTTCCTTTTCTGCTGTTCACTGTCTAATACATAATGGAATTTTTATGTAAAAAGTGGTACATTCATTCATCTGTATCAGCCAGGAGCTCTATAGGAACAGACCCAGTAGGACTAATACATATTAAAGGAGTTGTATTAGATTGGTTTACCTCACACAGTCTGGGTATCCAACAACAGCTGCCTGCACACTGGAGAGGCTCAGTCCTCAAGGCTGGCTGAATGCCTCCACAGTTCTACTCTGGCCCTGGAGAGCAAGAGACTTCTTGGAGAAACATTTGTCTCCAATCAACGTTGGAAGCTGAAAAGGCTGAGTTCCAGTGTCACTGGAGGACAATGGGAACAATGACAGCGACAGAATAGATAACTCAAAAGTGAGCAGGCAAAAAGCAAAATCTTTTCCCTCAGACCACTTCATATTAATATCTTAGCTGACACCAGGTGTGGCTCACATTCCGGGTAAGTCTTGGCATTTCAATTAATGTAACCAAGAAAATTCCAGATATCAGAATGGCCAAGTAGTTAAGGTATCAGATTTAAGAAAATCCACCACAGGCATGCCCAAAGGGTGATCTGACCTAAATAATACCTCACAGATAAACCAGAGACTTGTGTCACAGGTGATTCTCTGCCCTGTTAAGCTGACCACCAATACTAATCATTACAAGTCCACCTCTTGTCAGCTTGACACCCAAGCATATCCTTACATCATGCTTAATTTCCAAGTGAAGACAATTCTGCATGATGTAACTATCCCCGCACACTCACAAACACACTATCCCTCAAAGTAGGTCAGAGTCCCTTTAACACTTGTCTTTTAGACAAATATAGTATAATTTAGACAAATATAATAATAAATATTTGCAATGCTTTGACTTCCAAATTTAAGTCTAAGGACAGGTTACTGGGGAAAAGAATTTCTACTTTTGTTTCCACAGATAATAAAAAGCTGTAGATTCCTTCCATATTAACATGGTTTGATCAAGCAAGACCCCCTAAAACAGTGTTCCAGGTGATCCAACATTCAAAACAGCTGGGACAAGGCAGCCTTAAAGACCACTACAGCCAGGATTTCTGTGTCTTTTTAGGATTCCCAAAGACAGCGTCCCCTACCGAAGGAAACAGTTT